AGATATTCTACAGGACACGTGGCTAGTATTTCTCAAGACTGTTTAGATCATAAAAACTAAGGAAAGACTTAGAAACTCTCACAGATGGAAGGAGACTGGGGAGAAGTGACAACTAAACGCAATGTGGTACTCTGGATTTAATGCTAGAACAGAAAAGAGGGAGTTAAAGGGAAAAAAAAAAAATCAATAAAATCCAGGTAAAGCATAGAGTTTAGGTAATGGTTTTTTAAAAAGAATTTTTAAAAAATGGCTATAAATCTTATTTCCCCATCTGGAAAGTGGGAATCATAACACTGTATACATCAATGGAGTTTTGTGAGGATGAACTGTTATAATTCAAGTTATGCACAATGCCCTACGTGCCTCATGCTAGGTTAAGGCAGAGTAAGAGCTCAATAATCACTGGTTTCCATTGTTACTGTTTCCAGAAAAATGAAACTTACCTAGCTTCTTGCTATTCTGGCTCAAGACACAGTTCACTGGAGGTTCCCAGGAAATTAAAACCATATGTAACAACATCAATAACAAAAAAAGTGGCAAGATGCTATGACTCCAGATGAATAGCTTCATATAAATGTATATGAACTTAAAACATGAGAATCACATGAGAATCTTGTTAAAATGACAAATTCTTATTCAGTAGGTCTCAGATGAGGCACAAGGCCCTACAGTTATCATAAGCTCCCAGGTGATGCCAACACTGCTGGTCCACAGGTCACAACTGGGGCACCTTTTCTATTTCTGTAGTTTTAAATATTTCCCACTTAAAAAAAAAAAAAAGGTTAAACATTTTCTCCATTTCTTTATCATAAAGAAATTTTAAAACACTGAACTGCACCATCTATAACCCAATCAGTCATCAATATCTTAAATAAGCAACTACTTAAGCAGAGCAAAAGGGGGAAACCTCACATTAATGTCTGCCCACACATTATCTTACGGACTATATACAGAAAAGTAGCATCTTTGAAAGTCATATATCATTCTGATCTTCAACCATATATACATTCCTGAAGAAAATCATCACTCGAGGTAACTTTAAAACTAAAAAAGTCTACCAGGATTTGAAAAATTTGGTTGCAAATACCACCACAAATCCACACAGCTGCAAATTGATGCTTTGAAATCTTCCAGCATTATCTTTAAAAAGCCTAACTTCAGTTATATAAAACTTTGTGTTGAGCTGTAACTGTTATACAGGTGCATCCTGGCCCACATTTCTTAGTAAATAAATTTCAAGACTGTCAGCAATATCATTGCCAAAGAGACATATTTTCCTGTGTATTCTTCTTCCCTTCAGTTAACAGTTATAGAGAGCTCTCCAGGCAGAAAGAACACTTAAAATAGTTTTTTTTTCCAAAAGAAAGCTAACTGTACCAACCTCAAATGCCAAATGAAATCTGAATTCTATTCCATTTAATAAATTTTCAAAAAGGAAATTCTGAAGCAAAAATATATTTTAGAATTCTAGCCAATAAAAAGCCAAAATTTACTTTAAAAAACTACTTACAATGAATATCAGCTTTAAAAACATAGTATATTTCTCACCTAATTATATTAGGGGCCAGGTGAAGCGGCTCATGCCTGTATTCCCCAGTGCTTTGTGAGCCCGAGGCAGGCGGATCACCTGAGGTCAGGAGTTCAAGACCAGCCTGGCCAACATTATGAAACCCCATCTCTGCTAAAAATACAAGTTAGCTAGATGCAGTGGCACACGCTTGTAGTCCCAGCTATTCAGGAGGGCTAAGGCAGAAGGATTGCTTGAACCCGGGAGGCAGAGGTCGCAGTAAGCCAAGGTCATGCCACTGCACTCCAGCCTGGGCAACAGCTTAAGACTCTGGCTCAAAAAAAAGAGAAAAAAGTTACTCTATATTAATATTCACAGTTATCGAAAGTTTTGTTTATTTTTAAGAAAATCCCTCTACCTCTAAAGCTCACCTTCTCAGTCTTTTAACTAGGCACAATCTCCCTCCTTTGCCTTATGACCAAAGATTCTCGGGAAGGGAGTGGGAACTGGGTGTTAATGACAGCAGAGCAGGGCGCTAGTAAGAAAGAAAATGAAGGCAAAACAGAAGGTCTCTCGCCTGATAAACTCCAAAGCAGTTGTAAAAACTAGATAACTTGATAATCACACTTTTCAGAAGCAAACAAAACCTGTATGGTAGAATTAACAACTCAGCATAATTAAAGAAACATGCTTTGCAATTATTTGTGTACACATTGTAAGATTCCTTAAATTTGATTTCACAAGTTTTTCTACCTGTAGTATCAAATTGGACTTATTACTCCTCCTCACTTTAGATATGGCAGAAAAACAAAAAAAATATTGGAACATTCTAGCACATGATGTGTCTCCATATCCAACAAGAAGATTTACTCTCAAGACTCTTATTTCCTATTTTATGAGTAGTTTGGTTCCTGTGATTCCTTTAGATATCTCTACCTACTAACCATTTCATTGCAACTATGAATAAGACAATGTGAGGCCGGGTATGGTGGCTCACACCTGTAATCCAAGCACACTGGTAGGCCAAGTTGGGAGGACTGCTTGAGCCCATGAGTTCGAGACCAGCAAAGGCCATATGGTGAGATCTCGTCTCTACAAAAAATTTTAAAATTAGCTGAGTATGGTGGCGTGTACACCTGTCAGAAGGCTGAGGTGGGAGAATCATTTGAGCCCAGGAGGCGGAGGCAGAGGCTGCAGTGAGCCGAGACTGCATAGCTATACCCCAGCCTAGGCGAGAGTGAGGCCCTGTCTCAAAAAAAAAAAAAAAAAAAAAAAAGAAAAGAAAAGAAAAAGAAAATTGTGGGTGGACAATATGTCTCTTCCATTTACTTAACTATAGTCAGTAGTCAATATACCTACAGAGATTTGAATCAAAGCTGAGATTCAAAAGTCTTTTAATTAAACCTCAATGCTGGTGATTCTAGCAAAACTTTACTGTTTGAAAGTTTATGACGCACTTCGTAATTAAGATGAAGCTTCAATATCAGTTCAATCCTTAGAGTTTAGGCAATCATATGAGATCTAATTAATACAAAGATAGCATCAACTCGGGTTTATAGCTCCTAGACCAACACTTGTTAAATAAAGCTGCCTTCCATAATTGTTCCTTATTTTATTCTCTATGATGTTCTTGTTTGTCTAAACAGTACCTAGGAAAGCTGATAAACTAACATATACCTAGCAAGGTCAGAAAATTCCAAGTGTCAGGCTGGCACAGTGGCTCACATCTGTAATTCCAACACTTTGTGAGGCTGTGGCAGGTGGATCACTTGAGTTCAAGACCAGCCTAGCGAACAAGGCGAAACCCTTTCTCTACAAAAAAATAGAAAAATTCGCTGTGGGTGGTGGCCAGTGCCTGTAAAACCAGCTACTCCAGAGGTTAAGGTAGGAGAATCACTTGAACCTGGAAGGTGGAGGTTGCAGTGAGCCGAGATCACACCACTGCACTCCAGCCTGGGTGACAGAGCAAGACTGTCTTAATACAAAAAAATTAGCTGGGCGTGGTGGCGTATACCTGTAATCCCAGCTACTTGGGAGGCTGAGGCAGGGGAATTGCTTAAACCAGGGAGACAGAGGTTGCAGTGAGCTGAGACTGAAACATTGTACTCCAGCCTGAGCGACAGAGTGAGATTCTTGTCTCAAAAAAGAAAAAAAAAGAAAAAGAAAATTTCAAATTTCAGATTAAATATAAATGCCACTACTTAGTTTTCTATCCAGCATCTTTTCTTAATCTTCCTAATTGCCAAAAGTTTCCTGTTTCTTGTCCACTCCCATTTTTCCATCACTGTAAGTAATATTTTTGTTATATAGTATCCTGTTACACAAAACATGCTGCTTATAAGCAAATATATTCAGTCCTCATTCTATCAGAAAATATTTTAAGCACTTTACATGAAGCATCTCAATCCTCAATTTTTTAAAAAAATTTTATTTTTTATAAATTAGAGACAAGGTCTCATTATGTGGCCTAAGTTCGTCTCCAACTCCTGAGGTCAAGTGATCCTCTTGCCTCAGCGTCTCAAAGTGCTGCGATTACAAGCATGATCCACCAAGCTCAGCCATGAATTTTAAATAAGATAAACGATAGTATAATCCCCTCTGCGTGGGGAAAAAATCAGAACATCAGAGATTAAGTAATTTGCCCTAATTCACACAACTTATAAGAGGTAGAACTGTGATAAGTAAACAGTCTGACTCCAATGCCCACATTCCTAATTTCTGTATGTGATAAGTAACTACATGGATTGTAAATCAATATACAGATAACTCAAAATTTGGGAGCTACAGAATTTGAAGAATCTTCTTTGCAAACACTTGACCCAAGCAAGAACTCTTAACTCCTTCCCAGATAATTAAAACTCCAATCTGAAAATAAAACAGGGCCGCAGTAGTATTTCAACAAATGTCTGGCTCAGCACTGTCTAAAACTTTCTGCAGTAATAGAATGTTTTCTGTGGGCAGTCCAATATGGAAGCCACTAGCCACATGTGATTATTCAGCACCTGAAATGTATCTAGTATGACTAAGTGAATTTTGAATATTTTGTAAACGAAGTTTAAATAGCCACATGTGGCTAGTGGTTACCACACTCAACAGTACAGGCATAGAAGACAAAATGCCAGAAAAAGATGAGTGAAAAAATTATCATTGCCTTCAATTAGAAATTTCACTAACACTCAAAATAATCTAAATCGCTTTTTTTTTACATGCTTCAGCTTAAATTATTAGCTAAAATATAAACCTCCAAATTGATTTATATATACAAGAACTTTCTATATTTAAGACCTACCGTATATCTGAATTTAAAAAAATTAAATCTGTATTATGAAAAAAGCTTTGTATATTAGAATTCTTTTAGTATTGAATAGCTAAGAGGAAAACCTGAAAACTCTGCTACTGATGAGGAAAGCTAAACAATAATAATAAAAATAAAGAAAAAATAGTCAAGCTTTCAATTCTCTTCATAGAAAACAACTGATAATAAAGTGCTTACCTTGATTCTCCACTACTGTTTCTAACACTTTCTTCATCACTGTGTCCATTCATTGTAAATTATCAAGAAGTTTTAAAGTAAAATATAAATCTTCCCAGTTTAAAAGATGAAATATAAATACTAACTCCTCCTTGAATATAAAAATTCACAGATGAATTTTCTTCAACATTCACAGGTTTCCTGGGAATCTCCTTTGATTCACCTAAAGAAAACATATTAACAAATTAAGAAAACTTCCTGCAGAAAAAAGGTAAATATGCCCTGTTTAAAACGTACAAACCTACACAGGCCAATTAGATTGGAAGTGGTAGGCAAGAAGCGGGAGCCTTTTATTAAACACTTAAAATACCTAGGTATCTAGCAACTACACTCTGGATCTGACTACTAACTAGAATTTAGTATGCTACTGCTAATATACTTCGGACAGAAGAAATTAAAATATCTGTAGAGTGATAAGACTTTTAGAGACTAATTGCAACTGTCTAACACTGTGTATGTGTGTGTATATACATACAGACTACTAAAGCAAGGTGGTAACCCATACATACATCCCAAGAGTAGATAACGGAGTCTTATTAGATAACTTGGTCAAATAAAGTGAGGGAGGGAAAAGGTTACCCTTGATCAAGCCCTCATTCCTATCACCAAGAACTTCATATACCCGAGTGAGAAAGTTTTGAAAATGTTCCCGTGGGAGGAATAGGCAAATAAAAGGTATCACATCATCTCATCAAAAATGCCTGTCCAAACAAACATGTTGTTTCACAGGTAAACGGAGAGTGGGATAAAATTTTAAAAATACTTATCCAGTTTTTCACTTGCTTTTTATTCTGCGGAAAAAAAAAAGTAATAGAATATACACTATATCTGATTTCTTTAGTAAAAGATTTGGGGCGAGAATAATTACCCAAGGCACACCATTTCCATCTTTCAAGATTTCAGTACAACACTGGAGAATCACCTACAAGCCATCCACGAATAAACAAAGGAGATCTCTGGCAGGGGAGGGAGAGGAAGAAGCGGGGGAAGGAGACGTCAGATCCTTCCCCAGCCAGAAAGTACCGAGACAGCCAACTGAGAGCAGAGCTGTCCTCCGACCTCAGCAAAGAGAATTCACTCCTACGATTATTTCCATTCCACAAAAGAGGGAGGGAAACAGACTGTTACCAACTCAATCATAGCAAAGTCTGCATCTGGATCAGGATGTTAACTCTCTAGACTACAGTCCAGTAGACTCTGCAAGAACAGGTTATCTAAAAAGTAATCATTCTACTCAACACATTTATTCCTAATGTTAAATATTAACCTCAACCCTAGTCAAAGAACCTTACTGAACAATTAAGTCTTAAAAATCTAAGTATGCTAACAAGCTGCCTTTCCCGTTTCTTCGTTAAAAAAGTTCACTCCCCTTTTCGTTCCTTTTCACCTTCTTTTCGTCCCTCAAAATGGCTTTCTCTGAACATTTTAACTTCCTTTTCCCCCCATCTCCCTTACCCAAGTAAGTCCTGAGATCCTTCTCACAACCCCAGTTTCTGAAGCTCCAAGTGCACACAGTTCCTCATCCTCTCAAGCATCTCAACAATGACTACCCTTAAGTTATTAAACCTCTTCAATCCTGTCTTTTAGCAGTTGCTCTGCTCCTGATAAGTTTTTAAAGCGGTACTCTAAAGAGGTTTGGAAACCATCCTCCTCGCTCATCCATCCAAAGCGCTCCAATCAGCCTCCCTCGCGGACCTGCCCCCCTCTCCCAAGGCCTCCTTCCCGGTCCGGGAGTCCCTCTTCCCGCCTCAAACTTCCCGCAGACCCGCCCCGCGCCCTCCCAGGCTCGCTCGAGCCGCCGCCCCCTCCCCCTCCCCCTCCCCGCCGCTCCCCACGTGCTGGGAGCCCGGGTCGCCGCAGGACCGACGCACAGGATAAGTGCTCGCCATTTGCGGGTCTCCTCTCGCGGCCCGGTCCGCACTAAGCTCAAGAGGCCCTGGCAGGGCCGCCAGGCCAGGGCGAGGATGCGCTCTGCGGCTGCCGGCCTGTGCTCGCCGCTCACACGCCCCCTGCGCGCGGGGCCCGTACACCGCCACCGGCCCTCACAGAGCCGCCCGGCCTTCGCCCAGCCGCTGGGCCGCCGCCCGGGCACCGCGCCGCGCCCGCCCTCCACCCGGCCGGCTCACGTCCTCCCCGTCGCCCCTTTTCTTACCGGCGGGCTTGGCGGGGCGGAGGGAGCCGACTCGGGTTGACGGCCTCCCCCGCGCCCAGGGTCTCCGCCGCCGAGTCCTAGGGCTCCGGGCGTCTCGGGGTAAGCAAGAGTCCGTGCGAGGGAGGGGGAAGGGGAAAGACGCGGAGGGGAAGGGGAAGCCCCGGCCCGCGGCACCAACGCGCGATCCCCTGCGAAGTGGATCCAACAATCAATTCATTATTGAAGCACCAAGGGCGAGGGCAGCAAGACCTAGAAGTAACGAGTCGTCGCCGCCGCCGCTGTCGCGCGCGCGCTCCCGCTCCCGCCGCTTATCTGCCCCCGGCAGCCGCCATGACGCCGAGAGAGCGAGCGAGCGCAACCGTCTCCGTCGTAGCCGCCGCCGCCGCCGCCACCGAGGTCGCCGTCGCCTCCGCCTCCCGCGCGACGTAAGCGCCTGTGCTCACTCCCCTTCCTGACCGAGCGCGAGAAGGGTGAGCGGGAGCGCGCGCGCACGCCAAACCCTGTCTGCTCGCGCGCGGGCGGCGGGAGGGACTACGTTGAGGAGTCGTGGGCGTAGGAAAAAAGCGATTGGTGCTGGGGCGGGCAAAGGGCGAGTGCGCGCACGCGCACGAATGGGAGTGCGCACGCAGGCTGCGCGGAGGGCGCCGGACTCTGGCCGCTGCTGTAGTGCGCTGATCCTCGTTTGGGTACCCGCCCTTAGTGGCCCGGCGTTGAATTCCGGGAAGTGGGAGCTGCAGACTCGCTCCGTGCGGGTATGGGCGCTAATGTGACTCGGGATGGTTGCGCAAGGACGTCGCGGCGGAGACTGACAAGGAACCGGGGAGGAACGGGGGAGGGGAGAGACAGCGATGGGACTCGGGAAGCCGCGGAAGGGCAGCGCCGAATAAGCCTAAAGGGCCCGGTCGCGCGAAGGGTCGGTAGCACAGGCCTCGGCTGCGTGGATTCGCCAGGTCGCAGGGCCCGGGCGGGGGCTGCTGCGTCACACCGGGCAACCTGGGAACGCCGAGTGTTGGCAACCGCGGTGGCCCCTCGCCGCCTCTTACGCCTGGGCGATCTGCGACTGACGCTCCCTCGAAGCTGATGTCTCGCACGGGCGGGGCGCCTGAGGAGGAGAGAAAATAGGGACCCGGTTGTTGACAGCCTGCTAGACTGCTTCATTCGTGTGTGGGTAGCCTGGTTTAGAAACGTACCACCCTTCCTTTCTAGGTTCCTCCCCAGAGGGCGGGGTGAAGGGTGCGGCGCCGAATCGCACCAAAAAACGCTACTCGAGGGATGTTAGTAACTGTTTCAGCTTAACTAAGTGCGTTTTAGTTGACAGTTTCTATCGTAACTGTAATTGTGGGCCTTAAATACCTTCAATGTGTTGGATAGTAGTGTACTCGCTTTACCCGGTTTTTTGAAAACATTGTTTTTTAAATCAGAATTGTTTCACTTCGTTTTTTTCAGTCTGCAGATCGACTTGACTCGCTCGAGGTTAATGATTTTTGTTTTTTTCTATTTATAGAGGCGGGGTTTTGCCATGTTACTGGGTTGGTCTCGAACTCCTGAGCTCAAGCGATCCACCTGCCTCTGTCTGCCAAAGTGCTGGAATTACAGGCGTGAGCCACAGCTCCCAGCGACGGAGGTTAATAATTTTTAAAAGCTTCTAATTCCATTGTTAAGCTATTGGATTTGGTGTGAAGGCCCACTTTCCAACTCAAATGAGTTTGATTGCAGTAAGTGCATTCCCCAAATAATTATTTTTCCTTTGTGGGAAATATTCCACAGTTTTAGGCTACCAGCTGTTTAAACAGTTTGGTTCAAAGCCTTCAGAGAAATCTCAAAACATAACTCCACATATATATTTATTACATATTGAAGGGTATATTCACCTGGAGGAGTAGGTGAAAGCAAACAGATGCCCATGGCCTTTTTGAAAACGTTATCTATGAACAATAATTGAATAGCAAAACTAAATGGAACACTACCATCATTTGCAATAATAGATAGCTTTAATTCTGAGTTGTGAGGAATAATCAGATCATAAAATCCTCCTTCCTCAAGTCCCTAAAGTTATGAACTAAGTGCTAATTTTTCATGTTAAGCTTTATGTAAATATTCTTAATGATAGGAACTTTCTGTGCCTCTAATTTCTCCAGAGAAACTAACCATTAACATATAAAGACTGTTATAATCAGTATAGTTCACTTAATAAAGTCCTCAGTTACAACTCTGACATTTTATCATTGTCTTATGAAAAGAATTACTGTATATACAATCTATTTTTACGTTTTCTGAAAGCACGAGACTGGTTTTTTGTTTTTTTTTTACTACTAATTGTGCCATCAAACATGCTATTCGAAAAAATGTCTTGCCTAATTTGTAATAAAATGTTGATCCTTGGAGATTTAGATTTGGAGTAAAATCGTACTTTATTGCTTCACAGAAGTACATACTAGGTGGAAAATTGCAACAGTCTTGGCAATTCATTTTTTTAAAAAGCATGTAGATAATCCAAAGGTACTTTGATAATTTTGTTATCAACGTAGTTACATTTGCAGTTTCACTTTATTTGAATAAACTGGTTTTATCTCTACTTACTGATACTAAAACAATAGCCAAACAGTTGATAATCTCAATACAGGACTAATGAAAAATTCCACATAATTAACATTAACCAGGAGGCTTTTGTTACTATTTAAGTTCCTCTTTCTAAAATTTCTTATTCTTCAGAAAGATTATTACTTTTACAGAACCTAAGATAGCATTTTGTGGGTCCTTAATTCTGATATGCTTTACTAGGCCAAGTACTAGATGGGTATCCTTAGGTGGGGATAGACTGGGAACCACATATCCAGAATTGTGAAATATATAACATGCACAGGATAACTTGCTCCTCTGTCAGTGTTTTGGATGCCAGGGTTACAATTTTAATTGCATAATTATGTTTTTGTTGCCTGGAGGATTTGCATATGAGAAGCCACAAAAACAATCAGGACAGTATTAAAATACCCTAGAATCTCAACCTGTGACAGTATCACCCAAGTCCTTGCCAGACTAGAGGAAGTCTTTCCAATATGATTCTTAAATTTACAAAGTCCTCTGAATACAATCCATGAAATCCTAAGTCATCTTCTAGTGAAGATTTATTGTACATTTTCTGTTTTCCTAATAAGAAATTAGAGGAGCTTTGGTTCCCAATGTTGAACAAGAGATAGGTAGGACTCAGTCACCTGGAAAGTTCTGTTGTAACTACATGTGCCTGACACTCCTATTCTTCCTCTCTTCTGCTATGCAGAATTTCTAGGTTCTAGGTAGTATTTGGGAGGTTTCCCAGATTATTCTGATATCCACCAGCAGCTCATCTGCCTTGTAACTCATCCACCTTGTTTATGGCCACTGTATTTGGGGATTTTGACTGGTAAATTCTTGAATCACTGAAAGCTAAATTTCAAACAAAATTCTTAAAGATGATACTATGAAGCAAGCACGTATAAAATCTAATAGGCATTGAAGAAGGTACAAAGATTCCATCCTCTACTGAAAAAATTAGGTGTGCACACAGAGTAAGAAAAAAGTTTAAGTAGCCAACCTCAAAAATACTGAATTGGTGCATTGATGTTCTCACTCCTTGCCTTGCCCAGATTGTTTAATTAATTTATTTATGTTTATTTATTTAATAACCTTTGCCTCCCTGATTCAAGTGATTCTCGTGCCTCAGCCTTCCAAGTAGCTGGGACTATAGGCACAAGTCAGCACACCTGGCTAATTTTTTGTATTTTTAGTAGAGATGGGATTTCACCACGTTGGCCAGGCTCATATCGAGCTCCTGACCTTTCATGATCTGCCCTCCTTAGCCTCCCAAAGAGCTGGGATTACTGGAGTGAGCCACCTTGCTCACTCTCACTCAGATTCTTTATTCACTGCTGTCCAAATATTGTTGGTCCTCTGTAACTTTCAGTACAGAGATTCAACTGTAAGGGACTTGAGCATCTTCAGGTTTTGGTAAATGGGGATCCTGAAACTAATTCCCTGCAAATACTGAGGGACAAACTCTACCACCCATTTTTTGCAGAAGTTTTGTATTCATCGTTTCTTTTTCAGTCCCACTACCAGGCTTAGTTTAGGCCTCTGTTTTCTCTACATCTTTCCCGTCAGCTTACCCTTTAGGTTTCCTTCAAACTTGAAATCTAATTAAATCACTCCCCTGCTTATATACCACATATATTTATAAACTAAACTTGCATGGATGTAAACATATATGTACATATCATATACTCCTAATATTTTAGTTACTTAGTGTTTTCACAGACTGATCTCAGTATTGCCTCCCATCATTCCTAACAGACACTTGACACTCTAGACACTTCTTCAGGTCACTGGAAAGCTATCTCATTGTAAATGGATATAGCCCATTTATCTTATGGGTCAATCTTCTGTAGGTTCATTTAAGTAAATGCTCAAGAACTGTTGAGTACCCTGACACAATTGTGCTGACAACTTATGAGAATTGTCAGACAACTCTCTGACCTCCCTTTTAGGACATGGAATTGAGTGTTCTGTAAGTGCAGCATACCATTGTATCATAATATAGCATTTGTTTCCATGCTACATTATGAGATCCTTAAGCAAAGAGACTGTGTGCTTTGTATTGACATTCATTCAATAAAAATGTAAGATGGTATTACCAGACATTCTGTTAGGAGTAGGGAGGGATCATAACACAGCAAAAACTAACACTTGCAAAGTTAAAGTCTAGTTCAGAAAACAGCTACACTATAAAATCACAGCTTAGAAAAGTCGTATGAAGAGACATACAGTGCTATGAGAATCCATAATAAAGAACCCTAGTCAGGAAAATCTCAAGGAAGTGACATGATCTAGAGCTGAAGAATTAATATGAATTAGGTAGGCAAAAAAGGGAAATAAGAGTTGCTTTCTGGGTAAAAGAAACAACATGGGCAAAAATTCTAGGTCAAAGAGATCATGCCAATGTACTTGCCAATTTGCCAAGCACAGGCCATATTTACTTTCAGAAGTGTTCAGGTTTGGATAGTAAATTTAATGGCCACCCTATCTATAAGGGATTCTAAGAAGCATGATACTGCTGGAGCAAAAAGCAGCTGAACAAGGTGAGGCTACATAGGCCATTCAGGGCCCAAACGCTAAGTAAAGTATGTTTTTCAAGACAATGAGGAAACTACTGAAGGACTTGTAACTGTGTGGTAGCTTGACAGGATGGGCAAATTGAAAGTTTTACTTTAGGCACAAATCCCAAAGAAGGATTAGATGTGGGTTGAAGTAGACACAGTATTCCTAATCGAGTCAGGAGTCTTTGGCAAATAAGAGGTTAGAAATGACATGATAGATTAGGGTAATGTAACTGGGAGTGGAGAGAATTAGAATTGGGAAGGATGACAAAACTTGATGGGATTGGATTCAGGCAGGGTTAGGAGGAGGGATGTTGGACATTTGTAACTGAATGACATTCACTTATATAGTAATGTATTTGGAGATGTATAGGTGGGGAGATCATTATGTTTGGTTTAAGACTTAAGAATTTCTGATGCCTTTGAATTGCCAAAGAGGTTTCTGGATCGAACATGGAGCTAACTGAGGTCTAAACTGAAAATTAAAACTGTTAGGTGTGTAGGGAAAAATTAAAGTCTTGAGTATTCATGAAATAGACTTAGAAGACAGCCTAAGTGTGTGCAGTGAAGAATTCCAGTTTATTTTTGACTAGGTAGAACAAGATGAACTGAACAAGGAGGAGTTACAGATACCAGAAGGGTGTTGTGCTGTTGAAGATGAGTAAGTGCTTCATGGAAAGAGTGAATGTTGAATAATGTCCAGTTGCTATGTAAGAATTAGGTAGAAGTATTAACACATATTAATCATCTAAAAAACAAATACATTAATATCTTAAAAGTCTGATTTGGGAGAATTTGTTTTTCATTGCTTTTTTCGAACAGGAACTGAACAGTACCACCGTTTACAGTTAGGTGGTCACTTAACTGGTGTGATTTGAGACTGAGAACCTCCTATTCCACAAATCCGTGCTTTATCCTCTACTAATGCTTGAAAGGTCATTGATGGAAATCTATTTTAAAGCATATATTCCTGGGAAGAGTAATACGTTTAGAAGGTACGTAATTCTCAGCCATGCCAACATTTAGAATTACCTGAGGGTTTATACACAAAAAAATGCTCAAGCCCCATCAAGAGATTCTTTTCCATGGTTCTGAGGTGGGGCCTTGACATACGCATTTTTTAAGAGCTCCCCTAGGTGATTCTAATGTGCCATTATTGAAAAGTCATTGACAGCATCCTATTAACAGTATTGATTCATGTAACATTTTATTTAGATGAAATGTGGAGAGGACAGGACACTTATTTATAAAACAGTGGTTCCTAATGGCCATTAAGTAAGGAAGATTTCGTCCTAAAGAGAACATTTGCCAAAATCTGGAAACATTTTTGTGGTTGTCCCAGTGGGTGGATTTTCTGACATTGGTGCTATTCATATGTAGTAGTTAGAGGACAGGGATACAGCTAAAAATCCTACATGGTACTGCACATTCCTCTGTCCCCCAGAACAAAGAATTACCTGGCTCAAAATGACAAGAGTGCCCTTGTTGGAAAAAACTTGCTGTAAGCGATGGCAAGCTAGTTAGTATTTTCCAGTGAAATCTGACACGGATTGGAGTTGTGATTTGCTAAGACTGCTAATGAATGAGGATCTACTCCCTACCTAACAGCTTAGCCAAAACTCACCCTTTCTTATAACCAATAGCGAAGGAGCCTCAAATAAAATATATTTTACAGAACAAATAAATGTGACTAGCATAATAGACTGATTGCAATGTTATTTTTATTGTTAAAAACAATTTACAGGCCGGGTGCGGTGGCTCACACCTGTAATCCCAGCACTTTGGGAGGCCGAGGTGGATGGATCATGAGGTCAAGAGATTGAGACCATCTGGCCAACATGGTGAAACCCTGTCTCTACTAAAAATACAAAATATTAGCCAGGCGTGGTGGCACATACCTGTAATCCCAGCTACTTGGGAGGCTGAGACAGGAGAATCACTTGAACCCAGGAGGCAGAGGTTGCGGTGAGTCGAGAATGCGCCATTGCACTCCAGCCTGGGCAACAAGAGTGAAACTCCATCTCAAAAAACAAACAAACAAACAAAACCACACAATTTATAATGTAACAAACTCTTATTGCTGGTA